ATAAAAAAGGAGTATGGGAAATTGACGTACTCCAAAGTCAAAAAATCCTGCTGAAAGGCTAATTGAAATTTTTATCTGCACATGCAACAGTGACCTGTGAGGGAAAATCACGAATGAACAGTGAACCTCAAACCCTCTCTTTTAAGAGATTAGAGAGTCTGCACATGCAACAATGATCTGTGAGGGAAAATCACGAATGAACAGTGAACCTCAAACCCTCTCTTTTAAGAGAGTAGCGATATACGGAAAGTGACTTGGTTCACTAACACAATGATGGGTTCTGACGGTCACTTTAGTGTAATATTAGTTCATGTGTCGTTGAGGTAAAATTGCTAATTTCTTGTATCTCTTTTGCTTTAATTAATGAAATGATTTTTATTTTTATTTTTATTTTTAAAAATTAAGTTCTAATATCATTTTCCAAATCCATTATTTTTAGAGAAAATTTTTAAATGTACCGTGGATCGTCCAACTTTGAGTAGAGTTTCAACTGGTTGGATCACCGAGCTTGTATTTGCTTATAAATTTAACCGCTAGTCTTCAATTTGGCATAATTAGGTCACACGACTTCGACTTGCTTGCATATATGATCATTTTGTTTACTATATCGTCTGTTTAATTAATGTAATATGTTGATTTGTACGTTAAAATTAATGGATGGTTCATGTATATGTTAACTTTACAGAATAATAAACATCATCCATCGTAAAACTTTTTTAAAATAACATATTGACATACAACGCGTTTTAACGTCAGTAATTCACCAGTATCAATCAGTTAACCCTTTTTGTATATGTTAAGGCTTTTGGTTGTGATAATTGTGAGACTTTGAAATTGGATTGGGTGCTAGAATTATTTGAGTTTAGTTTGTATAATTTTACTTACTAGTGAAATAAGGCCCTGTTTTAAACTTGAAATTTTCCATGGAAAATCCAAGTTTTGGGCTATTTGGTAGCCAACATTTTCCATGGAATTCATTTTCTAATTTTTCACTCATGCGTCCCCTTTTCCAACTTTTGAATGAAATTGTTTTTTTGCTGCTTTGGTGGTTTTTGGTTTTCCACCTTTTTTTTGACAATTGGAAAAAATTCTAAACACAATGGTAAAAAAATTTATCACTTTTATTGACAATTTCCATACAAAACAAAGCTAAACGGATACCAAACTTTCAATATTTTTCAGATGGCAAATTATATCAATCAAACACAATTAATTACAATTTTTAATAAAACAAATTCTAGACAATTCAATTCTTTATAGTTCGTTTTTTTAATTCAAATTTTACATTTGCAATTAAAGGGACCTTAAGTCAAAATTGACTCTTAAAATTTGAAAATTTACTACTTTCTTTGTCAAATTATTGTATCATACTTTAAAAAATATGATAACTATTGGTCCACTCTTGGCAGTACAGTCATAATTCNAATCCTGAGTACTCCTATTTAGGGTATGTTTGGTATCAATTTTTATTTTCAACAGTAAATCAATTCTCATTTTCAACCACACATTCTTCAATAAAATAATATTTTCTATCACATCAATAATCTTATCTTCTTTTTTAACCACACATTTTCCATCATATCACTATTCAAAATTAATTCTTCCCCCAAAAAATCCCTACCAAACACACACTCAAATTATTGTATCATACTTTAAAAAATATGATAACTATTGGTCAACTCTTGGCAGTACAGTCATAATTCTGCTTCACAAGACGACATCAATTGTCGGTTGCTTTTTTCCTTTTCAATCGTGTCAATTAAAAAGTTCAATCAAATGCCCGACTGGTGGAAAAATTTGATTTCGACAACATTTTTCTATCTTGATATCTTGCAATTAATCACTTCATATATTATTACGATGTTCGGTGAAAATTAAAATTAAATTTTTAGTAGAAATGTGTTGTTCAAAATTATGAAATCCATAAAAATATGATTAATATTAATTTTTTGATTTTAACTTTGATTAAAATCAGATTTTAATTTAACCAAACAGGGGCTATAAATTTTAGTTTCAATTCTCTTTAAAAACGTACATATATATTAGGACTTATCTGCGGGGTTTGCTTCCTATGTAAGTTAAGTAAATATGTCTAAAGTCTGTTCAAATAGCCAAGTCTATAATTTAGATTAGCCTTAATTTTATCTAATAATTATCTTCATGAAATATAGCCCCTGTTTGGCCCCCCTTTTTCTCCATTAAATTTCATTTTCACGT